GCTGCAAGAGAATGTTGGCGAGCACACCGAGGTCAAGGAGGCGGCTGCGCAGCTTGTCGACAGACGCGTCATTGTCGGGCACGAGCGTTGCCAGTGCCACATCATAGACACGGGACCGTAGCAAGGCGGTCAAAAGGTCTTTGGGTAGCCCCGAGAGCGTCTCGAACGAGGTGCCCTGCTGGACAGGGCAGCCTTGCAGTACCTCAAAGATGCCATGGTCCTTGGCGCCAAGCTTGCGAAGGTGCGTTGCAGCCTCGTCAATGGACGCAGGGTAGTCGCGGGTGTGCGCCGACGAGTCGGTGTACACGAGGTTATACACGAGGAGGACGCGGTCGCCCTCGGTGATGGCAGCCGCCGTGACGTGCGAGTTGCGGTAGCACGCAGCGTACGAGTGCTGCGGTGCATCTGCGCGTCGAGGCTGCAGCCACTTGTTATGGTCGTAACCGCGACTGAACTCGACCTCACCGCCACGCACATGACGCGGTAGCGCGACGTATAATGTGCCAAACGTGCCCGGTGGCCGGTGCGCAGCCCCAAACGACTGCGCGTCGCCGACAGAGTCGAACGCAATGTGGGCAAGCGCAGCGTGGAACGGACCTTCGGGTGCTAGCGCTGTCTTGACACGCTTGACAAGCGTCGTATTGACAAACGTATCAAAGGCGGTTGTGTCGAACGCCAGGTCGGCGGCGGCGACGATGGTCGTGGTGCGTGGCTGGTGGTAGCGCGAGAGGTCCCAGGCAGGCAGCGCGCGGATAGCCGCTTCGTCCTTGGCCGTGAAGACGCGTGTCATGGACGCCGTCTTTGGGAACTCGAGGAGGTACATGATGTCCTTGTAATACGCGCCAACGTCCTCATGGGCCATCATCGTGCGAGAAAGGCCAGCAAAGCGGAAATGTGTTTGAAACATGTTGGACGTACAATTGTTTTATACTAACATTTATGTTTTATACATCGACTAATGCAGTGTTTGCCAGCTGCAGGCCCGACGCCGGAGACGGCTCGACGATTTCGTATACATGGAGAAGTCAAACATAGGACCATCGTCTTCGACTGGCAGTCATCGAGTCGGGGAGACTGCGTTCGCTGGCAGCGCCAAGAGTCGGCATTCGGTGCTACGATGTGGCCCTGCCAACGTTGTTGAATCAAACAGCTGTATTATACAGCTGACTATTCATGACCATACATACGCCAAGTTCAAATACACGTTGTGTTTTATTCGACCTGTTCTTTACCAATTTACAACACACTCGAAAGATTTCATTCTCGGTGGCGCGATGACCGAGTGAGACAAGTAGCGCGACCCCAGACGCAGCCAGGACGAGCAGGCGATGCGCCTCCTCGAGTTCCCAGAGGCCGCGGGCATGATCGGCGCCTTTGCACCCGAGGGCGAAGCCGCTCGCGCTGTCGGCCTGAGACCTCTCGCTCCACCTCGACCACGCCAACGACGATCGTCGCCGCCGCCGACTTAGCGTTCGACACAACCGCCTTCGCCGCCTTTGTCAACGCGATGATGCTGTCCAGCGTCAAGTCGGCTATGCCACGCATCGCTCGCCCACACTGCGTCCGACTCTCTCGGGTCCACTCTTATGGTAATCCAGCAGCATTCTGGGGCAGACGCGCTAGCCGGAGAATTACGCGACGGCCTCGACGACGGCCTCGATAGTACTGTGCTCTTCACGTACACATCGAGTGGGCTACACGCTTCCTCATGCAGGTCGACGCCGAGTACGTGCTCGTCGATTGGCCCAAGCGACATCGTCTAGAAGCCGCCGAGTTCACCGGTGCAATGTAGCGCCTCGAGCGTGCGTCCGCGACCAACCTCTTGGGCTGCGACAGTGACGTCTCACGTTGCTTGGAGCCGGATGAAGAAGAGCAAGATGATCCGCAAGCGCCAAGCGCCACGCACAACGCGCAGTGTCAAGCGAGCCTGCGCGCCACCGACTGCAACATAGGACGCTACGTTCTTTCACCCTCCCAGACCTAAAGGCTATATACTAGTAAACCCTATCAGATTCTACGACGCCGAGGACGCTCCGAGTGTACATTGGCTCACGTTCGTTCGTACCGGTACTGCAACCTAGCGCCACCAGTCGTCCGCCAAGGGCTTGTTGCCTTCCAAACGTGTAGCCGTACCTGTAGTCCAAGCTGCCAAGCCACACTTATTTCCAATCCAAATACTGTATTAGATTGATCGACAATCGTACTCGTCCATCAGCGCGCCAGATGCGCTGGCCGGAACACACACTCGCTTGGTGCCCTCCTGGCCTTGGACAGAAGGACGCTTGGCGCCGCTTCGACGCTTGGTTCGAGCGTCCATCACGGCTTGGAGCCGCTCGATGCGCATCGAGGCCGTCTGGAACTTGGCTTCCATGAGCGTAAAAGCGTCGAGTCGACGCGTGAGCGTCATGGTCGTCATTGGCTTTTTCTTCCGAAACAGTGTCTCGGGCTCGTCGTCGTCGTCAAAGAACGTGTCGACTGCGATACAGCGCGGCCCGTACACCTCTTCCTGGACGCCGTACTTAGTGCTTATAAAGTCGTTGACCTGCCGCGCCAAAACGCAGTCGCATGGCACGAGCTCGTGGTTGGCGTCGCGGACGCTGCGAAATTGGTAGCTCCATGTCTTGAACTCGGCCTGCAGCGCTGGAATCGCCGCTGTCGCGACGGCCATCCACGCATCGTGAGGCCAAAACGCATGGCGCGTGAGGCAGTAGAAGGCGACGTCCCCAAACAGCGCTGGCTCCGGCGAGAGAACGTTGGCCACCCAGGCGTGGACGTACGACAGCGTCTTGGACGAGTCCACGAGCGTCACCGCCTCCAAAAGATCCACGATCCAGCGCCAATGGACGTTCTTGGCCCCGTCGGGAGGCGGTACTTCCTTGTGCGGGTGCATATTATAAAACACGTCGAGGTGCTTGGCCTGAGTGCGGAGCATCTCGTCGCTCTCGGGCGGTGGTACCCGCTGCAAGAGCATGCCTTGGACGTCAGCATCCAGCGACGTGTGGCGCAGGACATGGCAGATGGCAGGAACGAGCAGGCTCCCAAAGATCGATTCGCAGCGATCGCGAAGCGCGGGCGCCAAGCGGCCATGGCGAGAGGCGATGACAACCATGTCGGCTGCCATCTTGATGGCGGAACGCGTCTCCCACACGTCGACGACGAGTGAGTTGATGCCATCGGCATTGTCGTCCAGCAGCTGCAAGACGGCCGTCGCGAGGTCGGGCACGCAAAGCGTCGGGTTGGCATCGAGACTCTGTGCCAGTGCCTGCGTGACGACGTTAAGTAGCGAACACTTGTCTGGGTCGTCGAGCATGATGGCTGTCATCGACGTCGCCGGGTTGAGCGCTGCGTCAATTGCCGACAAGGCGAACGGCGGCAGACGCGCTTGCAGCCAATGCGCAGTGGGCTGCTCGCCCAGTGAGGCCACGTAGCCTTCGACGGCCAAACACGCGCCAAGGACGTTGATCAACTCAGCAGCTTCGACCGTATAATAGAGCTCTTGGACGTTGCGCTGCGCCGTCCGCCAGAGCAATTTGATGAGCTCGGCAAGATATGGCTGTCGCAGTGACGAACACAGAGGGTCGGGGCCGTCGACACCCGCCAGCGCTGCGATCAAGCGGACCGCCGGTGCCATGGTCGCTCGCTCGTTCGTCCAGCGGCCGACGAGCTGCTCGAGCCCATGCGAGAGCGCCTCCCAGCCGTGTGTACTGCAGACGCGGTGGATCCACGTAGCAATCGCGGGCGGTTTGGTGTCAAAGGAGACGACGTCGAGCGACGTGGCCATGTAGGTGGCCATGAGTGTGGGGTCCCCGATGACGTCCAAGATACGCGCAAGGCGAGCGAAGCACTCAGTGGCCGACGCATTCGCAGCCGTTTGGATACGCTGGTGAACCGCGGCCTCCGAGAGATCGGGCGTGGCCAGCAGAGGCAAGACACGGCGCACAAGCGCATTGAGACTCTCGTGGCCGACGAGAGGGTCGGTGCGCGAGACGGCGTCTTCGAGGCAGAGTAGAGCACCGTGGGGGCCCGCGGCTTCGAGCCTTCGCTGCTTGGGCCAGAACACAAGGACGCCGAGTAGATCGTTGTCGTCGGCCTTGTGGTCGACTTGGCGGGCGGTCGAGACATAGTCATGGAAGAGCGAGCCCGCAAGACCTTCTTGGAGAAAGCGAAGGTCGCCGATCGATGGGTGCAGCTCGATGCTGCCGAGGATATGACTCGTCTCGGGCACCGCCATCATGATGTAACCTGCCAAGTTGACGCCGCCGTCAAACGTGAGCTTGGGGCGGACGCTGGCGAGCGCCACGTCAAAGTCGCCGGAGAGAACCAAGGCGTGGACAAGGTCTCTTTCGTGGCCCGAGAGCGCATTGAATGAGAGCGACGTGCTTGTCCGTATCGGGTAGGCCAGTCGGCTGTCGTCGGGCTCGTGGTCCTTGGCGGCGAGCGTGGACAGGCGGGTCGCGGCGGCGTCTACCGAGATGGGGTAGTCGCGCGTGTGCGAGCGCGGGTCGACGTAGATCAAGTTGTACACGAGGAGCACGCGGCAGCCAGTCGTGATGGCCTTGGAGATGACGCGCGTGTGTCGATAACACGCAGCGTACGAGTAGCGGGGCAGCGACCACGGTGACAACTCGAACCACGTGCTCGTGTCCCTGCCACGCATGAACGAGAGTGCGCCGCCGACAAAGTGGTGCGGCAAAGCTACGTAGAGCGAGCCAAACGTGCCGATAGGGCGGTGCGCCGGCACCATGGTCGTGGCAGTCCCGATGCGATCGACCGCGACGAGCGCGAGCGACGCGTAAAAGGCGCCAGCGGGGCGGAGCGCTGTCTCGAGACGCGGCACGAGCGCCGCGTTGACAAAACTGTCAAAGGTCGCAGTGTTGAAGGGCATGCTGCTCGGCGCGAGGATCATCGTCGGCGCTGTCGCGCCTACGAGCGGCGAGAGGTCCCATGCCGGCAACCGTCGGACGTCGGCTTCCTCTTTGGCCGTGAGGACTCGCACGACCGAGGCGCCTTTTGGGAACTCGAGCAGCCGCATGGTCTCCTTGTACAGGCTTCGCACGGGTCTGCGGTCCTGGGCAGCGCGCGACGGAGCGACCGGGCTTGGCTGCATGCTGCCAGTCGGCCGGTCTGGGATCTTTCGAATGGATTCGGCAAAAGTGTTTTAAACCTGTTTTCAATGCGGATGTATACACTTCTGTTCTTCCGGTCTGTGTCATTCCCAGGAACACAACGTGTGCATTGAACTAGGTTATAAGATACATAGAACCAAAGCTTCGATGATACTAGTACTCGTCAAGAAGAGAGAAGGAAACACAAAGCCAACACGCAGCAGAACCAAATAGGAAACACAAACCCGTTTTAAAACATGCAAAACAAGAGAATAAAAAAAACAAGACCCGGAACAGTATGCCACCTGTGCCGAACCCAAGACGACGAAACAGTACCACAAAGGTACCGGTAGCACAAAGCTACAGGGAACGCGTGATTGCCAAGCTCGCATGAGGTTGGCGTAGAGAGACACGTGCATCGAGCTGCTCTGGACATGACCTAGGAGGCAAGCGTTAGGGCGCCAGGCCGCCCGATTTGATTGGCCACCATACACTTCGTGCATTTCGATTGGCTATTCCAGATGACGATGAGACTCGTGGCACCTTCTGCCAAGGTCTCGTTCAACGAGATTGGTAGAGCCGAGAGCCGAGGCCGCCAGGATGGCAACGTGTCTTTGACGGAGCTGTTTGATGAAGCTCTGGATAGCCTCACGCCAGATATCAGCGCCTCTCGACGCCCTCATGGAGTACCTCTGGCCAAATGTGCTCGCCTGCTGGTGAAACACCCACTTGCACTCGCCCACGCGGCCGTGGCAGGCGGCTCGCACACCTCGCGACGGCAAAGGAATCGGTGCAACAGCGTTTGGCGCTATTGTGATGCACGCTCCGTCGGTCTTACCTGCACGGAGCAAAAGACGGTCTACGGCCATGTCGAGGTCCCAAGTATATTTGGTTTGGCCACAGTACATGGCATTGACGACAAGATCTCGACCTGAATGATCGATTGAATGACCGTCCACGACCGCGTAGCGACGCTGCCTGCATGTCATATGTGTACCTCAATGAACAACGTGCCACGTCATTGGCAGTTTCGTTTTCGAAAGCACGCACTTCTAACCACGATGCAGAAAACTGTGATGGGCTAGTTAATACACATATTGTGTTTATACATTCGAAATGCAATGATAGCGCCTGCGTCGCTTCGACTAGAGCATCATGAGGTGCGTGGGCGCTTGGCCCGTCGTTGCGCGCGGAAGCTCGCCTTTAGCTGGTTCACTTGCCCAAGAACTGCGGGCACTCTCCACTTGAAGGCGCGCCTGCAGCGCCGCAAGCATCTCGTCGCGCAAGTCGACAGCGAGCTTTGGCCAGCGCTGCGTAAACTCTTCCAGCAATGGGAGGAGGACGCGTACCGCGCGCTCGATCGGCAAGGCGGTTCCCTCAGCGTTCTCGAGCACAGTGTCGAGCTGCGTCAGAATATAGTCGCCGCAATGCGGGGCCACCTCGTTAAAGAAGCCGAGGGCGCCGGCCATGATGTAGCGGCGCGTCTCAAGCTCCCGCTCCTCCTTGTCGACCGGGACAGGTCCTTGGAAAAAATAGGGCACGACGATATCGAGGGCGCTTGCTGTCGTAAGGAGGCAGGTCGTGGCTGTCGCGACCACTCGAGCCAAGTACTCGATCAGCCGCGCCGGGATCGTATGGCGCGCCGCGAGGGCGATGATGCCGCTGACGATGCCAAACTTCATGTCGTCGTCTGTCGCGTCGAGCATCGTGTCCATCTCGCCGCATAACGTGGCACCTCCGTCGTCGAGCTGGAGACGCAAGAGGAGGTTGCCGGCAGCGGCGACCGGCGACTTGAAGATATCGTAGCAGCCATGCACGCGGTGAGCGACGTCCCGCACAGTCCAACTCCCAAGGGAAACGCGTGGGTTCTTGGCGACCGCAAACGCAATCGCCGGCGAGAGCACAAACATGCTAGGAAACGAGTCGTCGTTGCGCGGAATGCACGCTAGAATCGGCGCCGGCAACGTCCCTTGGACATTCGCATTTGGCGTCAAATAGGCCTCGAGCAGGAGGCAATTTTTGAGCAGCTGCATCGCGGCGTCGGTGGCGGCATTGTTGTTGGGGTACTCCGGACACATGGATATGACGGTGCTGACCTTGCACGCCGCGCGAAGCGTCCCGTACGCTGCTGCGATTTGCCCACGGGCGTTCGGTTGGTGCTCCAACGGCGGGCAAATGGGCTCGTCCGCAACCCCCGCGAGGCTCGCCAGTAGTGCAAACGGGATGTGCACCGTATTAGCCGGTGACGTGGCGCCCCACCGCGCCAGTAACATGTCGACAGCAGGCGCGAGCGTCGCCCAGCCGTACCGCGCCAAGCACGCGTGCACCTTGGGGCCAACGAGGTGCATTTTCGGGTGGTCTTCGTTCTCAGCGCTTAGGTCGAGGCACTGCTGCAGCAAGCTCACATGGTCGAGATCGAGAAGGATTTGCAAAACGCTGGCACAGAGAGGCTCGGCTTCGTGGGTTCGCGCCAGCCACACGTCGGTGAGCTTCAAGCTATTGCAGTGATTGACGACGCGGCCGCGGTTGTGACGCCGTGCGTGACCCAGGTCGGCGTCGTTGCCCACCATCTCGACGAGCGCTGCGACCATGTCCTTGACCGATGCATAGCCAAGGAGCAACGTATCATCGGGCGCGCCAGAGAGCACGTCCTGGACGTACGCCAGTGCGTCGGCGATACCGAGTTGCCGAAGGCGGTGCTGTGTGGGCCAAAACACCAACGCCGACGTCGACTGTCGGTGTTTGCAGAGGAAGTACACGACGTCACTGTTGTCGAGACTTCGAAGGACGAGCGATGGAATCGCATCCGTGTCTCGGGCGACGACCGACGTGATGCGTCCAGTGTCATCGTGTGTCGTGAGCACCAGATCGTAGCCGCTTGCATCGTCGAGTACGTCGACAAGCGCCCGATGCCTTGCAACTGCGAAAACGCAGTCGTCGTCGTTGTGGCGACACCGACACGACGATGGTACAACGACGGCAGGGTCGCGATCGCACGCAGCTCGCTGACAACCTCGTCCACGTCGGCCTCGGAGGGTGCACTTGCCGTCAAAGCGAGTCGATTCATCACCGTGTCGTAGACGGGATCGAGGTCTTGCGTCGTTGTCATGGCTATCGTCGGTACTCGGATAAAGAGAGAATGAGCTGTCGATACCAAGTGCATGGGAGCCATCCATTGCTCAAGCGCGCCATGTTGGGAAACGCCCCGTGGAATGAGGCGCTTGCGAAGATGGCCCTCGGTTCGCCTTGACGCTCGACATCGCGATATCGAACTAGCTAGCTCTTTCACGCTTGTGTAGAGAATTCGTCACTCATGTTCGGAGTCTATTGAGAATGAGATGCTCGTATGCTTCAACGTCAACTTGACGCGGCCGTTTCTTTGGGCGCAAAATTGCTACCGGTAGCATTTTTGCACCCGAAGTGCCCATCGCAACACAAACGCAATAGTTCAAGACACAAAACATCGACGAATTCATAGTCCGCAAGAGCAACCCTAATCGCACCAGACACCTTGACGTGGACTTAGCACGCGGGCTTGGCGCGGCGCTTGATCTCGACCGAGTCAAACATGGTCGTCGTCTCGCCGTTGGCACGGAAGTGGATGGTCAACTTGTCATCGTCGGCAATCACACGCGCGTGGCCGTAGAGCGAGCTCGACATGGACTTGGACCACTCGGGAATCGGCTTGATCGCGCCCTGGTAGAGACCGTGGCCGCCCGTGCCGACCGTAAAGTACGTCGGAGCACCTTCCGTGATTTTGTTTTTAAACACTGGCGCCGTGCGCTCGTACGAGTGGACGTGGCCCGACATGACGGCGTCGACACCGTGCTGGTAGTAGAGGTCCTCAAACTTGGCCTGGAGACTGCAGTGGGGCTGCTTGCGGACGTCGCCGAGCTTGCCGCCGTCGTTGGTCGAGTTCATGTAGTAGTTGCCCTTCCAGCACGACTCGGGGTCCGGGATCTCAAACTTGATGGGCGAGCATTGGCACTGGTGCTTGAGCCACGAGTTGTAGTACGCGTTGTGCTTGAAGACGATCGTGTACGGCGTCGCTTCACGGTTAACGCTCGCAAGGTCCTTCTTGAGCCAGTCGAGCTGCTGGTTGCGGTGCGCAAACCAATACTCCGAGCCAATGTTGTTCTTGCCAAGGACACCCGTGTAGTCGTCGAGGAAGATGGCGTGGATGTTGCCAATGTTCTTCGAGTACCACGTGCGGTGGTCCTTGGAAGCGTCAGCCGAGATCGGCGTCACAATGCGGTTGATGTACGCGGAAAAGTACTCCGAGTCGCACTCGGGGTGGTCGTAGTTGACGCCGTCACCCTGGATCACCTCGTGGTTGCCCGTGATGCCGAGAAGGGGCACCTTGGAGAAGAGCGGCTGCGTCTCCTGGAGCCACTTGTCCCAGTCTTCGTGGCAGCCGTTGGCGTACGACCAGTCGCCAGCAATGATGACCGCATCCGGCTTGGTGCCCTTGAGGTCGCTCGCCATGTTGGCGATGGTATCACCAACCACGTCACTGCCCACGTCACCGACGACCGAGAGGACAGTCTTCTTGGTGGCCGCGGGAATCGACTTGAAGGTACCAGTGAACTCCTCGATCGCGTACGTGTACGTGGCGTCCGGCGTCAAGTTGCAGAGCATCGCCGTGTGGAGGTTGGGCGAGTTGTACTTGTACTTGCTGCCTTCGATCTTGTAGGTATGGACGGCCGACGTCGCCGACTTGCCCGTGTTGCCAACACCGTACTTGACCGTCAACGGCGTCGACGAATCACTGGCAAAGGCGACCGACACACCGTCCTTGCAGTCGACAGCCTCGGACGAGAGACCGACGTGGACCTGCGAGACCTTGGCGGCGCCAACGAGAGCGAGACCAGCGACGCTGAGAAGGAGCTGCATAGTGCGCAATGTCGAGCAAGTTGAAAAATGAACATCTTGGGCGCGATGGCGCCGGCGTCGGTCGTCCGTCGTGCGGCCGGGGACCTTCATGTCTCATACCA